CCCCCCCCCCCCCCAGAGTGTCCTGGCAGTGGCTAGCGAGGGGAGGGCAGAGGGGGTCACGTAATCCTGGCCGTTTAACAGCGTTCTGAAGAACCCATCTAAAGATCTTGCGTCTCTCCTCGTCTCCCGGCCAAAAATCCGAACTGCGCATGCGCCTGCCACAGGATGCTTTGCGGCCGCCCGAGCAGGTTCGGATTTTCGTACGGGAGCGCACGGGGGAAGACACAGGTAAGTTTAAACTTTAAACTGATTTGAAATCGCAAAGCACAACTTGAGACCCCACCAGGCCACCCGAGACCCCGCACAGCAAACCCGAAAACCCGAAATCCCGCACAGCCCACCCGAGACTCCGCACAGCCCACCTAAAATTTCGCACAACCCACCAGAGACCTCACCAGGCCACCAGAGACTCCACACAACCTACCTGAGACACCACACAGCCCAGCTGAGACTTTACACAGCCCACCTAAAACTTTGCACAGCCCACCAGAGACCCCACCAGGCCACCTGAGACTTCGCACAGCCCAGCTAAAACTTCGCACAGCCCACCTGAGACCCCACCAGGCCACCTGAGACTCCGCACAGCCCACATTAAAGTTCGCACAGCCCACATTAAAGTTCGCACAGCCCAGCAGAGACGCCACCAGAGACTCCACACAGCCCACCTGAGACTCCGCACAGCCCACCTAAAACTTTGCACAGCCCACCAGAGACCCCACCAAAAAAAAACGTTATTTTTTTAAGATCCACTCAGTCTCCCTACCTTATCAGAACTGGAGTGGATCCTCAGCCTGGGATCCAGTGTGGGCTGCTGTGCTGTGACTGAGCTCCATCCATATGTGCATTGCTTGTACAGCTCCCTCGCACACCCTGTAGAGGTGTCGGGAACCAGAATGTTACATCACACCGGGCCAGCCACCTCTACAGGACATGAGAGGGAGCTGTAAGCAATGCACGTATGGATGGAGCTCCCTCGCAGCCATTGTCCTATCACATCCCACCTCAAGCTGACACTCGGCTCTGGGAGGCATATTTTGAATGGCTGCTCGGCGCAAGAACTGACAGTGCTGTGCTAGGGGAAGGCTGAGGAGCCTCTCACCTAGAAAAGTGGAAGGCACACGGGGACCCACTGGCCAATAGTCACAGGCAAATAGTCCCACCGCACTCTTGACCGAGAAGCCCCATATAATGTGTGTGTGTGGGGGTGGGGAAGTGGCCACGGATGTCGCCTTTTTTTTCAAACCTTGGTGTGTCTGCTAGATAAAGTCTTATAATTTGAGGAAGCTGAACCCCCCCCCCCAGGGAAAAAAATTATCTACAGCCCTGTAATAGGGTACTTCAATGCATTTTTAGGGTTTAACTCCTGAGCTTTGTGACACTTTAAAAAATAGTAAGGCCCCTTTCACATGGGCGCCTTCAGTTCCAGTAAACAGGGGATCCATGCATGGATCCCTTGCTGATCAGAGTAGTTCAGAATGGATGTCACCATTGTGACATCTGTGTCCATCCAGTTTTTTTTTTCTTCTTGCGATGGAGGAACAAACTAAAATTGCCGGACCCATGTTGGTCTATGAGGAGTCAGATGTAAACAGGCATGTGTCTGTTTACATCAGATTACCCCTGATCTGCCACAATCAGGTCCGTCAAAATGGAACTCTATTCCGTTTGGTTTTCCAGACAGAGTCAGGAGTAATCGGATGTAAACAGAAACATGTCCGCTTAGGTCCTGCTGCCCATAGCTTAAAGGAGAACTATGAGATGAGTGCTTTTCACTCATCTCATAGTTCTAGCCGACCTGTGACAATGAGACTGTCACAGGTCGGCTCAGTAAATTGGGAGGTGAGCGAACATATACCGGTGTTCGCTCACCTCTCAATCCTGTCACGGCTCCCTGCCGTGGGAGGGGATAGATTCCCCCCTCCCCACTCCGATCCGCCAGCGCTGACTGGTGGAACGGACGGGGAGGGGGCGGGTACAGCTGGCTCTGCCTCTAGATAGGCAGAGCCAGCTGTCACTCACGCAACTGTGCGGATCCCGGCATCGATGTCGGGATCCGCTCCGGCTGCGGCGTCTCAGTAGCTTACGGTATACTGAGGCTAGGGTAACGGGAGGACGCTAGTTTGTGTGCTCCCATTACCCTAAGGAGAACTATGGGGAAAAGTGTTAACCCCATAGTTCTCCTTTAACATCGGGCTTCTGATCAGATCTGCCTGAACAGCTGATAGACAGATCTGACTGTAATGCTTGTGTAAAAGGGCTCTAAGGCATTCAATATTGTATAGCAAGCATCATGGAGTATTAGGCATAACTTGGTTTACAGCACTTCTTTATTTACAGCACTCACAAAAGTTATTTTTATATGTACTTTGCTATTGTTTGTATTTTAAAATTAATTATATCCTTTATTTATTTTCAGTACCCTGCACAGTAAGAGGCATTGACATGCAACAAAACAATATTAGGTTCAAACATATAGACAATAACAAATTATACAGTGAACATTTTGACAATATGACATTTGTGTGCATACCAGGATATAAGATATCTGATGAAAAACGTTTACGAATTCAGTGTTTGGATGGTGTGCTAAAATATCCAAAATGTCTGAAGGAAGGTAAGCACCAGAACTTTCAATAAATGTTACCACCTGCAATTGTTTTCATACTAAAACTCTACTGAATTTATAAGTAATATTTATGTATTTATTATTTTATCAAACATGTTTTAAAATATGTAATTTACTTACTGTTTACTTTTGCATCCTGTGTAGCACTTCATTGGATTGAACCTCCATGTGTAAATATTACATTAGTTTACATAGCACTAAATGGCACCTGACACCAAATGAGTGCTTTGCTTCTGCTTGTCTTTATTGCACTTAAATCAATTTTATTTTGTTATTTCTGTTTCTTTTTGGGAACTAGACATGCACACCAGCAAAAAATGTGTTCCGTTTTGTTTTGATTCGGATTTTTCTTTATTTCGTTTTTCGGAATTCGGGTCCGAAAGTCAATTCGTTTCGAATTCAGATTCGGACGAAATTCGTTAGCGGAATCCGTACGAAATTTAGTTTAGTTTTCGTTTCTGATTAGTTTCATTTTCGTTTCGTTCGTTGCAGCAAAGTGACATTTAAGAGGGGAAAAAAAGTTTTTGTTTTCAAATGTCACTTTGCGGCAACAAAATTTCGTCCAAAAACGAAAGTTCGTCCAAAAAAAAAAACGAATCGGAAATGTGGATTTGTTTGCATTCGTTATATCTGTAATTCGGATACATCCGAATCTCCGAATTTCCGAAAATTTTGTCCGAATTTTGATTCGGAACGAAACGCACATGTCTATTGGGAACCACCATTATCAAATCAGAATTTCAGCACTGTTAGTGTTATCTGCTTGCTCACTAGTCACATCAGTCTCTGTACAGAGAAGCTTACACTCTAATGCGCCCCCCCCCTCCCACAGTCACATTACCCGCTGGACGCAGGGCTTCGCGACCCGCTGGACGCTGGGCTTTGTGACCCGCTGGACGCAGGGCTTTGTGACCCGCTGGTCTCATGGATAAGTGACGCGCTGGACACTAGACATTTGCACCGGCAAAAAAATTGTTTCGTTTCATCTTGTTTTGATTCGGATTTTGCATTATTTTGTTTTTCGTGATTCGGACTAAATTCGTTAGCGGTAGTCTGTACGAATGTTCATTTCCGTTTTATGTTCGTATCGTTCGTTTCATTGCAGCAAAGTGACAATAAATTTTCTTTTTTTTAATTGTCACTTTGCTGCAATGAAAATGTGTCCACTAACGAAAATGCATACAGAATACCGCTAACGAATTTCGTCTGGAAAACTAATTTTTCCGAAACGAATCGCACATGTCTACTGGATGCAGGGCTTAGGGTTAGTTCACACCATAAGCAGTGCACTCCAGTCCGATTGTGCCCAGAACGCACTGCCCGCATTGCGGCCGGCTCACTTTTTTGCCGGGCTGGAGGGGGCGTTGCGGGCCATTGAAGTGAATGGCACCGTAGCCATGCCATCCTGCTGCAATGCGATCGCCCGCACTGGTTCGCAAGGCACATTGTGCCTGCAGTGCGTTTGGGTGCGGTGCAATCAAAATAGTGCTTGCAGCATTTTAATCGCACCGCACCCGAACGCACTGCAGGCACAATGTGCCTTGCGATCCCGTGCAGGCATTGCGGCCGGAGGGCGTGGCTAAGGTGCCATTCACTCCAATGGCTCACCACGCTCCCTACAGCCCGGCGAAAAAGTGAGCCGGCCGCAATGCAGGCAGTACGTTCTGGCCAGAATCGGACCGGAACGCACTGCTTATGGTGTGAACTAACCCTTAGTGACGAGCTGGGCTTAGTGACGCACTGGACGCAGGGGATCGTGACCTGCTGGACGCAGGGCTTCGTGACCCACTGGACTCTATGCTTCGTGACCCCCTGGACTCTGGGCTTTGTGACGCGCTGGATGCAGGGTTCAATGATGCACTGGATGCAGGGCTTATTGATGCACTGGACGCATGGCTTAATGACGAGCTGGACGAAGAGCTCTGTGACCCGCTGGACGCAGGGCTTCATGACCCGCTGGACGCAGGGCTTCGTGACCCGCTGGATGCAGGGCTTCGTGACCCACTGGACGCAGGGCTTCGTGACCCACTGGACGCAGGGCTTCGTGACCCGCTGGACGCAAGGCTTCGTGACCCACTTGACTCTGAGATTAGTGACGAGCTGGACGCAGGGCTTCGTGACCCACTGGATGCAAGAGTTTGTGACCCGCTGGACTCGGGGATTAGTGACCCGCCAAGATGTTTTCCTTATAAAATGTTGTAAAACATTTTATTATTACCCATATTTTTGGTAAAATATAAAAGATGCGGTCACGTCCGGTAAATAGACACCAAACATGCCAAGCTTTAAAATTGCGTGCGCCCACAAAATTGCATAAAACTACCATGCCTAAAATTGGCCATAGGCGACACTTTAAACGCTTTTACTGCTCATCAGTTTAGTGTTATCAGTGATTGATGAGCCTAGAATTATTGCTCTCACTGCGACATTCGCGGCAATATGTAACATGTGCGCCGCAATCATCGTTTTTGCACATAGGTGCGCCCAACGCGTATTTACGTGTATAAGTGCATGTGTGCGGGGGATTTAAAACTTTTTTGGGTGTTTTTTTTTATATGAACCTTTACAAAAAAATAACTTTTTTTTTAAAAAAAATTCTAAACTTATTTTGTACACTTAACTTGATTGCTATCACATTGGGGGATAAAAAGCCCCCCAATGTGATAGCTAGGAAAAAATGACAGGTCCTCTTAATGGAGATATCAGGGGTCCCCAAGACCCCTAATGTCACCTAGGGACCCCCAAAAAAGCTGATGAAGCAGAGATCTGCTTCATCAGCGTCTTCTCTGGCTCTCAGCCAGAGAAATGACAGCTAAAGGTGGAAGTGATGTAATAGACATTGCTTACGACTTTAGAGACAGAGAACGGGGAGAGAGGCTTTGAGCAGCCACTGTGCCAGTCCTGTCAGTCCCAGGCACCGCAGGGGGGACAGTTTTTAAAGCGTCGCCTATGACCCATTTTGGGTATGGTATTTTTTTGTGATTTTGCGGGCGCACGCAATTTTAAAGCTTGACATGTTTGCCGTACATTTCAGGGTTATGAGACAGCCGGCAGCACAAAAAAAAGACGTACATTTACGTGACCCCGCTGGGAAGGATCCGCCGTCTGCCCGTAGTTTTACAATGGGCAGACGGCAAGGGGTTCAAAAAAATTTCAAGTCCCCAGCCCCACATACATGCGTGCAAACATGCGTTGGGTGTGCATACATGCGAAAACGGCGATTACGGCAATTATGCCACATGTTACATATAACTGCGAACGTCAGAGTGAGGGAAATCATTTTAGGGTCATTATTCACTGATCACACTAAACTGATGAGTGGTAAAAGTTTTTAAAGTGTCGCCTATGACCCAATTTTGGGTATGGTATTTTTTTGTGATTTTGCGGGCACGCGCAATTTTAAAGCTTGACATGTTTGGTGTCCATTTACTTGATATGACCCCATATTTTACCAAAGAAGTGGGTAAGAATAAATGTTTTTAAACATAACTTAGTGAAAACATTTTTTTTTTACATTTTTACGGTACTTTTTTAAATTATATAGTAAAAAATAAAAACCCCAGTGGTGATTAAATACCACCAAAAAAAAGCACAATCTGTCCCCAAAAAATGATATAAAATTAATTTTAGTACAGCGTTGAATGAATGAATAAATGTCAAAGTACTGCAGTGCTGAATACTGAAAAAGGGCCTGGCCAGGAAGGGGGTATAAACACCTGGTCAGCAAGTGGTTAAAGGAGTGCAAGTAATGAGATAATTGCATCAAGCTCCAAGTCTCCAGCAGAGGTGTAACTAAAGGTGCCCATACACTGCACGATTATCGTACGATAATCGTATGCGATCGGTTTTTCGTACGATAATCGAGCAGTGTGAACGGAGACGTGCGACCGTTTCTACTGTACGGTCGCACGTCTTCTGTCGAACCAGCATGTTCGAAAACCAGCTGGGAATCGTACGATTCTCGGCTGGTTAGAACGGTGCTCGGAAGACAAATGCCGCACAGGCCGGTGTGCGCACGCGCACACTGCCCGTTCAGCATTCGGTCATCGGAAGCCCGCCCCTCAGGGGGGCGGGCTTGCGATGATCGAGAGTGCGATCTGCCTGTCCAAGATAGGCAGATCGTACGTTTTTTTTAATCCCTGTACAACTAAAGTCTTACGATGGTTGAAGAGTGTATGGCCACCTTAAGTCTGTGAGCTCCATCATTGTCATCAATCTACCCTCAGTAATAATATGTATTAATCTAGGGATATTCCCAGATAGCAAATTCTGAAGTCTGGAGCCTTGGAGTCCCAGTGGAAAGGCTGGGTTGTATTGTAAGAGGGGAAGGTAAGGACAAAAATGCAGGTCGAGCGAAAGAGTGGGGCAATAGTCTTCCTGGTTGCTCTGGTCATAGGGTTAGACCACTTAGAGAGTGGCGGTGCAGTATAGAGCCATGGAATACCCTGCAAAGAGGAGCCGCTAAGAGTTTTTGTTCCAAGCGGACCCATAATTCAGTCTCGGAATGACAGCACCAGTCTGTAACTCGAGCCAGATGTGCAGCATTATGGTAAAGAATAGGGTCCAGGAATCCTACGCCTCCTGCTTTTTTTTCGGTCTAGAGAGAAAGCCCAATATGACCCCAGCTCTGCTCTGTGCACAAGGAAAGCAACTGAAGATGGACCGGACTCATTTCAAAAAGGATGTTGGTATATCCACTGGGAGAGTTTGTATAAAGTATAATAGTCTAGGTAAGATATTAATTTTTAAGAAACTGTTATGACTAACCAATCAAAGGCAGATTTAATCTATAGCATAACCAAAGGACTGCTCCACTGTCTGCTTGGTAACCAGTTACCCCGCCTCCTAGGTATCCTTCTGTGTATACTGTCTGCATAATTACAGGTGAAAAACCTTACGTGGAAAGAGCAGGTTTTTTGGATTGAGCAACGCACCCGCCACGTTTCAGTGTTTTGTAAATGACATCTTCAGAGATC